GAGCTTTGTCTTAGAAAATATTTTTTTAAAAATATGTTTGTTTTTTAAGAGTCAGGGTATAAGAAGATGAAATAATGTATAAATGGATTGATTCAAAATGATGTCGATCGGGACCAGCAGTTGGTGTAATGGCTATGTGCTGGACTCCCATGTAGTCAGCCATGGTTCGAGTCCCGGACCTGGTGGCTTAAACTCATGCTGGGCGTGTATGCGTGCATGCCCAAGATCCTGAGAGGAGAATGGAGGAGAAGGGATTGCGGTGTGGCCATCTCCCCTGGAGGATGGTTTCTCACTTTCTGTCTCTGTCTCTGTCTTTCTGGCGAGCACACACGCCCTATAGCAAAAAACCTCTAAAAGAAAAAAAAAAAAAAAAAAAAAAGATGTTGATCCAGAAAAGAAAGGATTATTTTGGGAGCCAGACAGTAGCAGAACAGTAACATATGATGCTCTGTGAGGCAGTCCCAGATGGGAAGATTCCCTGTTCAAATCCAAGCCCTTTCTGGGTGTGCTAGGCTCATACTTGCCTATGAGCCCAGGTTAGCTGAATGCTGGGGATGGATCGCAGTATTGGGACCCTGCTAGGGCTGTTGTCTGTCTCAATCCCTCTCTCTTCCCTCCTTCATTCATGGAAGAACTAAACTTTGAATAAGAAAGAAAGAGGGATAAAAAGAATAGGTTATTTTGAAAATATTAAAGGAGAATCATTTCTGTTCCACCTGTTTTTTCCCCTTTATTCACAATAGGGCACGTGTGCACACTTGTGAGAGAGGGAGGAAAAGACGAAGGAAGAGAGCTCCCTCCCAGGGTTAGACATACTGCAATCCGCCTCCTAAAGGTCTCCTGCCCTCCAGCCCATTGGATCCTGGGCATGCAAGCATGTGCCCAACATGATTTAGGGCAACCAGGACAGGGATTTGAACTGCAGTCACCATGTGGTATCCAACTTCTTTTAAGCAGCACAGTTATGGCTGTGCCACGTCTCCAATCCTGGCCTGTATTTTTAAACTAATGATTGAAGTATTTCCCTTTGATCTCATAGATGTTTGCGAAATTATTCATGAGTTGAATTTGTGTAAGTCTCATTTATATATGCTGCAAATTTACTGTTAATTAGAGCTCAGTGACAACTTCCTTTGTACTAGGAGTAATCAGACTACTTTATAAATTAAAAATTCTTCATAGGATATTAAATTGTCATAAAATAAGGTCCAGCAATGTCATAAAACTACATGATGAATTGATAGACAATAAATGGATTTCCTAACAACAGTGCATTAATGATACAATTTGTTTTTCACCTCACATTGAGAAGCATGATTAGTGAAAAGTAGCACTGTTTGTTTTGTGAGGAGCTTTGGAGTTCTTGTATATTACCTTTTAAATGCATTGTAATATTTTTAATTAGTTCAAGGTACACCTTGTGACTTATTCTTACTGTAAATGTTTCTTAAAGGTACTATGACATACAGATGAGAAAACTTACTTTGAAGACTCGTTCCTGCAGTTTAACAAAAGCCACCCATTTCACAGATGATTTAACTTTGATTAACCGACTCCATTGTAACAGATTATTCCGACAACTGGAATTTCATTCTTTGGTATTATTTCTAGGTGCAGCTTAATTTACAGAACAGTTTTCTTTCCATCTCACCAAAATACATCACAATTTTGACGTTAACTTAAAGTAAAAATTCAATGGTTCATTAAACCTGGTTTTAGCATTCATTGACAAGAGGTTTGTCATTTTAAAAGTAACTGCTACTTTTATGCACTCTTTACTGCTCAGTTTATAACCTTAGATTCCCTGTCAGAGAAAGCATGGAGTTAACCACTTAGCATATTTTAATGAATATTCATCAATAAATTGATGTGACATGGCAGTTCCATTTTTCAGTCTTCTTATTCTGTTACCGTCTTTCCTATAATACTTTTAGGTATCTTATAGCAGATCATGTAATAGCGACTAGCTTAGGAAACCTGTAGGACTATAATACTATATATTTGGCCATGTCAATAGTCATTTAATAGCTATCATATTAATTTAAAATAAGAGAAGTGCATTTGTTTCAGAGGGACATTCTTTACGCTGGAATAGACATTAGGACAAATATTTGGTCATTGTATAAGATCAGCTTTATAATGAAAGGATTATATTTTGCCATTTTAAAAAATAGCATATCTTGGTTTTTGTTCCCTTGAATTGTATTGTTTAATCACTTGTATGAGATTTGGAATTAAGTACCAATTAAAGTTTTAAAATTTGTTTTTAATCCGTGTAGTAAAGGAGGTATGTACATTCATTCTAAAATAAAACCCTGAAAGCATGTGTATTTAAATAGTTGGTATTCATCATTTCAGCTACAACTAAAATAACATATGCACAAATAGGCATGGCAAATTCTACGTAGTACGCAGGTATAGATCACTGTCTCACAGGCATCATCTACATTTTAAACTCTAAAAGGAAAAGAGTGTCTATAAACAAGATCTTTCCTGTTAAATATGTAGATTATGAGGTCACTTAGCACTAAAGTACTGACCATATGCATTATGACAGGAATTTGACACCTGTCATTGGAAATAGTACTTAGAAGCAGTATAATGCAACAAAGTTGAGGGAGGAGAATAAGATGTGGGTCGGAGGCTGTAATTTATAATTCACAATGCTCAAGAATGACCTGTCCAGGGTGACTCAAAATTCTTATCTTTGATTTTAGGATTTATATACAGTAAACCCTACTGGTAAAAAGAAAAAAAAAATGAGCAAACTGATAGTACTAGCAGAAAATGGAAAAACAAAATTCCTTATACTTAATTTTTTATTAAATAAATATCCTTTTATTCTAAAAGTCAAGTTTCAAATTAAATGTAATCAAATTATTTGATCATATTATACCTGCAGGTGAATTTATGGCATGATTTCATCCTAATGTTTGAACAGTGCAGTATAGAATCGCCACCAGTTATACTGTTTTCAGATTAATAATCTGTTGTATATGAGAATTCATCTAAAAAGGAGTAGTGTCTTTCTGTTTTTCTATGTGATTATTTTGCCCAAAAAAGCTTTCATTTTTTTAAGTAGCACAAAAGCTGTAATTGGCATGCTTTGTAAGGAAGTGTCAATGTGCAAGAGAGTGGCGATCACTAAGAATTCTTTTACGTGTTCTTTCCCCTTTGCACCACCGCCTCCTCAGCAGGGTCACTGAGATCACTAGCTTTTCTTGAAATGGCCATTTTCACTGGCAGGTGCATTATACCCTGTATTTTCAGATTGTTTTTCCATTCTGAATGTTTGGCAGGTTGATTGCTCTGGCTGCATTGACGGAGAAAGGGCTGACAAATGCGGTTGGGCTGGCTGAAAAGACAGTGATTACTGTTTTCCTTTGTGGCTGATTGAGGCCCTTGAAAGGAAAAATTTTAACCTTCACCATTTGGTTCAAAAGTATGAGCATATATTGAAATCATTCGTGCCATTTATCCTAGTTCTGTAAACTTGTCAGAACGTAAAAATCGCTCAATTTCAAGTAATGTAGGATTGGCATACGTCATTATCATTTTGATTAAGTTGGAGGTTGTATCATTGTGTGCATTATACAGTGTCATTTAAAGCTTTCTTTCCACAGGTACAGTTATATTTTATTGCTTATACTATAGAGTTAGAAAGATTTTCATCGCTCTCTAAACCTAACACTATGTGTGTGGTTTGGCAGCTGGTGTGGCCTACAAGCTGCATTTTGTTTGCAGGGTAAAGGCTTGTCTGTAGGCCTCCTGGAGTGTGGGTAATTGCACAGGCTCGCCATTGGGGAGAGACACAGGATTGGAAGCAGTCAAGCGGAAGAATGTTATGCCATCCCATTGCCACCTTGTAGCAGAAAGACACAATCCCAGCAGTGCCATCTGGTTGTTGCTATCTAGTCAGCTGGCCTGGCTGCTGGGACCATGACTTGGCAGCTGGTTCCCACCCTTGACCATTCTTTTGTGTGCGTTGTATATGTGCGTGTTTTCGATAATTCTGAACATGGGTCAGAGACATGACTCTAACTAACAAGTAAAGTCCTGGATTGAATAGACTCTCATTACTTGAGTTGCACTCTGCTGCAGATGCCTGCTGCCATTCTCTTATAGATAAATAACATGTGTGTTCAGGCAATAAAAATAAACATTTTCTTCATAAAAATCCATCTCAGTGTGTAGCAAAAAAGAAAGTAGGCAAGATTGTATGTCCTGTAACATTTTAAAATAAATCATTTTAACTTACTTCCTGGTTTAGGGATATAAGGGATTTTGTAATTTTTTTAAAGTCTCATAAGCATTGTTTATTATCTCAATTTATATTTTTTAATTCGAATTAAGAAAACAAGATTTTAAGTGCTTATTGGCACATCATATAACAGTAGATAATGAGACTTGCATTTAAAATGACAGAATAGAAAATGTGGTCTCTTAGCTATTATCTCTAAAATCTGCCTCTCAAATAGCAACCTGAGAGTTAATGTAAGCCATCTTTATGCCATATGAAGGCCCATTAGACACTGATGATTTCAGATCACAAGTAAGCAGCCGGCTCTGTAGGCTATTTTAGACATTTGATTTTCTTCATTCTACAGCATTAATGTGTCAGCATGCTATATAAAACTATGCAGGAGTTGCATGTTGTTCTGTCTGGAATGATAAATGCTTGTAAGCGTTTAGAGACTTCTAAGAGGAACTCATCCTAGTTGCTTATATATCTTCTTTCAGTTTATGTAGCTACAGAATTTAGTATGCCTATTGATGAAGTGCCACATAGATATGTACAGAAACTCAAAGATTCCACTTAATTCTTCCTCTAAGATCGCGATGATAAAATTTATATTATTTGTACTTGTTCTGTCTCGTCAGTGGTTTACTTTTGCTTTTACCTAGGGAGTTATAACACCTTCTGAAATAGTACCTTACAAGTTACCAGCTATAAAAATAATTTTTGTTTTATTGTGGGTTTTTTGTTTTTGTTTTCCCAGATGAAGAGGAAGAAGATGATGTAGTGACTCCCAAACCACCTATTGAACCTGAGGAAGAGAAAACCTTGAAAAAAGATGAAGAAAGTGATAATAAAGGTATATTAAAGAATTTGACTTCAGGGGAGATAGTGGGGAAAAAAAAGAATTTGACTTTAACAGATTTTATTGGTTCGTATTAAGATTTTGAAATTATTTTTGTATTTAAAATAGACTAAGAGGCTCTAAAATAAAGAGGTGAATCTGGTTGAGAAAGAATGTGTGGCATTCATTGATCCTGACTTTCATAGTGAGTTGACATGATTTGACTGACATAAATCGGACTTCAAAAAAAATTTTGTTTTCCAGCTCCTCCTCATGAGCTAACTGAAGAAGAAAAGCAACAAATTTTACACTCTGAGGAATTTTTAAGTTTCTTTGACCATTCTACAAGAATTGTAGAAAGAGCTCTTTCTGAGCAGATTAACATCTTTTTTGACTATAGTGGAAGAGATTTGGAAGACAAAGAAGGGTAATGTTTAATTGACATGATTATAGTTTCAACAGTGTTAAATTGCTTTAAGAGATAAGTTATAACACCATCTTTTGGGATGGGCTTTGCTTTTTTTCTGTAGAGAGATTCAAGCAGGTGCTAAACTGTCACTAAATCGACAATTTTTTGACGAACGTTGGTCAAAACATCGGGTCGTTAGTTGTTTGGATTGGTCGTCTCAGGTAAAATATAACAAAATTGGTTGCCATTAACTCATATTTGAATTTATAATTAGCAAGTTATTTTAATTATGGGACTTCATGCAATTAAATCAATATTGTATCATTTTTTAAAAATAATGGATGATAGTTCTAATTTATATTTGTTTTGTCTTAGGTACTTTGGAAGAAAAGATTAGGAGCATTATATTTAAAATTCAAAATGTTCTTTATGCCTCAGCCTAGTTTACTGATTTCCATTGCTCACCAAATCATTTGTATAAATGATGTCGTATAAATATAAACACATATTTTAATTGTTTTAACATGAAAAACATTTTAAATGATTAACTGTAATAATTTAAAGTTATACCAAATGCCCCAACAAGTATAACTAGAGATATCTTTTTTGAGTGTTAGATACTTGTTTTGTTCTTTTTTTTGTTTTCAGAGTAATCTTGTAAAAATAGTTTAATAAAGAGGAACATAAGACAGTTCTTATTAAGCATAGCATTTCTTTTCCACTTGATTCTTGTGAGCAGTATCCAGAGTTACTCGTGGCTTCTTACAATAACAATGAAGATGCACCTCATGAGCCTGATGGTGTGGCCCTTGTGTGGAATATGAAATACAAAAAAACTACCCCAGAGTATGTGTTTCACTGCCAGGTAAGATGGTCTTCTAACAGTCTTTCCCAAGTTTAAGAATTCATAATGAATGTAGACAAGTGCCTTTTTTCTTTTCTTGTCAACATAATGATTTCATTGGATTGGCATTTACTAAACCACCCCATATTTGCAAACAGATGTTAACAGAAAACTGAAGACTTCTCAGTTCAACATGATCTGCCTTCTGTAGCTTTTCTGACATCTCTTATAATGTTTAATCACACCTAAAGTCCTTTGCAGTAGTGATTTTCTGTTATTGTGATTGATTGTATAAAAGGAATCTTTTATAAAATGTCTTTTCTACAGGGAGTTTCTCAGGAACTTATTTGCTGAATATACAATTAGATGGTTGGCCCACTGAATTACTTATACATGGCCTCAGGAGTTGGAACTAGATAGTTTTAAGTAGAAACATATGGTTGAAGTAGGAAACAGATGCAGATTTATAAAGTGGATTTAGTAGAAGGTTAGAATTTGTAAGCCTTTTCTAGTTGCATGAGTTAAAAGTCTCTTAATAATGTCATAATCCTGAATAAACATTTATCGCAATCAAAACTAGCATGTACACTACTGTCAGCTTACTGTCAAAAGCCAATGTGGGGTCAGTTATCTTTTTAATGCTGTAATCAAATGAAATAATTTTTTGCTTTCTTTGATAAGCTGTGTAAGCATTTATATAAACAGTCATTATATTGGATTGACTTTAAGCAAAAATATTCTAAAGGTACATTTTATACTTTTGAAATAAAACATAAATTCTAATACCTTAAGAAGGAAATATTTTAGATAACATTTTCATAACTTATCAAGCTTTTTTCATTTGAATCTCAAGTATAAAAATCTTAACCTTCTTGCAGTCTGCTGTGATGTCAGCTACATTTGCAAAATTTCATCCAAATCTTGTTGTTGGTGGCACATATTCTGGCCAAATTGTACTTTGGGATAACCGTAGCAATAAAAGAACTCCAGTGCAGAGAACTCCACTGTCAGCTGCTGCACACACAGTAAGTAAAGCAGGTTATTTCCTTGAGACTTCCATACCTCTTCACCATTAACTACTTAGCACTGTCCATCAGAGCAGTCTCAGAATGTGCTTCCTTTGATGTACAAATTTCTCATCATTTAGCAGCTAGCAAGGAAGGCCTTATTTCTGTATTTTTGGAGATCTGTTTCATCAGAAACTCATCTCCTGAGACAGCCTTTTGTTAATCAACAGACTAGTAGTAAACAGCACATCAAAAATACTCTCAGGCCAACCGGTTGCGTGGTGGTTAAGGTGCTGGATTCCACATGACCGATTGTGCAGTTTCAATCCTGGACCTAGCTAGCAGCTTATAAAACATGCTGGGCACATCTGCGTGCATGCCCAAAATCTTGAGAGGAGAATGGAGGAGAAGGGGTTCCTGCATGACCATCCCCGCTGGGGAGTGACTTCTCACTTTCCCTTTCTCTCTCTCTAGCAAGTGCACACACTCCATAGCAAACTCTAATTTTTTTTTTAATTCTAAGCTGTGATATTGTTTTGATATGAAACAGAATACTTAAAAATTAGTCTAAATTTTTGTTTCAATTTTTGCTAAAATAATTCCTGAAAACTTTCTTTAAATGTCCCCAGCACCCTGTATATTGTGTAAATGTTGTTGGAACACAAAATGCTCACAATCTGATTAGCATCTCTACTGATGGAAAAATTTGTTCTTGGAGCCTGGACATGCTTTCTCATCCACAGGTAAGTTAAAATTGGAAAGCACTGAAACTTAGAGGCTGATGTTGCTTTTTTTTTAAGTGCGTATATACCCCAGCTGAAGTTTTTCATAAACCGTTTTATAATAACTTATAAATATAAACATTGTTAAGTAGTTTGTTGTATATTTTTTTTGTTAAATCTGCTTCATTTAAACGAGATGATTTATGTTAGAATAAGACAGTTATTCACAAACCAATTAGAAGTTTTTCTGCAGAAAAATTCAAATTTCAAGTTTACAAAATAATCTCATTTTTTCAATGTAGGATAGCATGGAGTTGGTTCATAAACAGTCAAAGGCAGTAGCTGTGACATCTATGTCCTTCCCTGTTGGAGATGTCAACAACTTTGTTGTTGGGAGTGAAGAAGGTTCTGTGTACACAGCATGCCGCCATGGCAGGTACAGCCTCAACTAGTATTTGCACATTATTTAAAATTCTACCTTGAATAACCTCATTGAAACAAATTACGCCTTATTTAAGAGGTCTATTCTAGAGCCACTCATTATTTGTGACAGATTATGTGAAATTAAAAATTGAATACATTTTTTTTAATGATCATTTTGGATTCATGGGGTGTTCTGAATTCACGGGTCATGGTGTATTGTGGTTGTGTGTGTGCACACTCAAAGTAGTTAGCATAAGAGAGAAATGTTCAGCAGTTACAAATACAATAAGCACGTGCCACATACTGACATTTACATTTGCAAATAAGGTTTTTCTATTTCTGTTTATTTGGACTTTGAGCTTTAGTTCTGTCTGCCTGATAATTGTACAGTAATGTCACGAACACATTTTAAATTGACTAGTATTTCTCCTGCTGTTCAATCTGTTTTGAAATTGTCTAGCTGTACCTTATCAATTGCTTCCTTTAAAAAAATTGAGTGTCCAGATTTCATCTCAAACACAGATCACCTTCCTTTCAAAGCTTTTCATTTAAAAGCAGCCCAGATTGTCTCCGTTACATGTGGCATCCCTTTGTCTCTATTCCACCCCCTCAGATATTGGACTTGAGTTCTGTTGTCAGCAACTTCATGCTGATGGTTCCAAATGTACTTCTTGCTTTAGTAAAGTAATCATCATGTCCGGATAGACTAACACTCAACATGAGTGTTCTGATGTGTTAAAGTGCTAGGCTCAGAGCACAGAGTTCACTTTGCTGCAATTAAGTCATGATCTAATATAAAAGCCACAATAAAATGTGTTTATAATCTATCATCTCTGCTTGTAAGAGATCTCTCTAACATTTTCACTCTATTGGAATAGCAAAGCTGGAATCAGTGAGATGTTTGAGGGGCATCAAGGACCAATCACTGGCATCCATTGTCACGCAGCTGTGGGAGCAGTTGACTTCTCACATCTCTTTGTCACGTCATCATTTGACTGGACGGTAAAACTTTGGACAACTAAGGTATCTAAAATACAGATGTCTGCTCATTTGATCGAAGTGCTGACACAAGGTGGTGCTCTAATACTACATAGGAAAGACGTAAAAAGCTTTTAAATAGCTTAGGATTGTTTATTAATAGCTCAGACTTGGTAAGAAGTTATACAGAATGTGAATGAGCTACTACATGTTATAGTTTTCATCAAAGTGCACTGACAAATAGGGTAACCCTACGCATAATCAAAGACCAGTCTTCTCACCACTTGAAGCTATTCCAGCACTGAACTGGTGTACCTTGAACTGAGTTGGGGAGAAAGGTCAGCCTTGTGGCCTGTTGGTTGGGGAAACCTGGGTCCCAGATAGCCTGCTTCGTGGTTCGAGATAGGGAAAAGCCCGAGTACTTCTAGCACCTCATGTAGTTGTCGTTTAGGTCAGTTCAGACACCGTACATTTGATTTGCTCTTTGGACAGCTTTTAGAGGCTTTTTCAGAATTGCAGTAGCTCACAGAGCTGATGGAAATAGAGAAAAGACCAATATAAACTGATTTGCAGTAACTTCTGTAGAGAAGGGCTATACATGATAATCTTGAATCATTAAAAAAGTATTGTATAAAGGCACAAATATATAGATATAATTGTTCTACAATAAATATTTGAGTAGTATGGGTTTTAATAAATAGCAGTGGGACCAGCAGTTAGCGTAATGGCTGTGTCACTGAAATCCCATGCAGTCGACCACGGTTCGAGTCTCGGACCTGGTGGCTTAAATTTAAGCCAGGCGCGTGTGTGTATGTGCCCAAGATCCCGAAAGAATGGAGGAGAAGGGATTGTGGCGTGGCCATCCCCCCCTGGGGGGTGATTTCTCGCTTTCTGTCTCTCTGTCTCTCTGGCAAGTACACGGGCCCTATAGCAAAAACCTCTCCAAAAAAAAAAAAATAAAAAAATAAACAGCAGTTCCTTGAAAAACCCATTTGTGTGATAAAGTGTTTCCTGACCCTGCAGCAATTCCAGTTAAATGTGGCACTGCCCTGTGCTGTTGAAAATCTCGACAAACCCAAGTAGGGAATGTTACCCCCTGTGACAGACTCTGTACTTTCATTTGACCCCACTTTGTAATTAAAGTGCCTTAACTTTGCAATTAGTTTTTCTGCAGTATCACATCTTTTGTTTTTCTTTACCTTATCCCTAAATGTTGACTTTCTGAATAATTCATGAAATGAAGACCTTCTTTAGTTTTTCCTTTTCTTTGAGAAAACTTAGTGGTCATAAAAGATGTTCTTCAGGGACAGAAGATGGCATGGTAGTTAAGACGCTAAACTCCCACATGGTCAACCATGGTTCAAGTCCCACACTCAGAAGCTTGAAAATTACACAGGACGTATTTGCTTGTGTGCCAAAAACCTCAAGAGGAGAATGGAGGAGAAGGGACTACAGCATGGCCATCCCTCCTGGGGGTGGGGGGGGTGATTTCTTACTTTCCCTCTTTCTCTCTGTCTCTCTTAAGCAAGTACACGCATACCCTACAGCAAAAATCTTTAAAAGAGAGAGAGAGGGCAGCTGGTGACGTAGTGGTTAAGGTTTTATGTGATTTGCTGCAGTTCGAGTCATGGACCCAGCAGCTTAAAATGCAACTCTGAGCCCGTGTGCGCCCAAAATCCCAAGGGGAGAATGGATTTCAACATGATTATCTCCCTTGGGGGTGATTTTTTACTTTCTGTCTCTTTCTCTCTCTAGCAAGCACGCATGCTCTATAGCAAAAATCTCTAAAGAAAAAAAATTGAACTTACCTATAATAGCAGACTGATTGATACTTATTTTGTGGTACTCAATAGCTAGTTGGTTGCTGGTTATTTTTGCTCCTCTATTTTACTGTATTTCAGCATAGAGGTGCCTTCTGAATAAGAATCATCGGTAGGCAGGCCTCTTTCCTTGCTAATTAGCTAGGCATTGCTTTCTTCCTTGACCCTTATATAGAAGACATCTTTATTAATTGAGCTATGATACATGCCGCTGCCCCCCCCCCCAATGTTAGTGGCCAAAGAATGGACCAGCATAGAACAGTGCTTTTATTTTCAGTTTTGCTACAGGTGCACATGCTCACCCAGGGGAAAGGAAAGTGAGAAAGGAACCCCATGGGGGATGGTCATGCCACAATCCCTTTTCCATTTCTCCTTTCAGGATATTGGGCTCACATGAACACGCGCTCGGTGTGTTTTTCAAGCCACCAAGTCCAGGACCAATACTGTGCAGTCATCCATGTGGGACCCAGGAACCTTAACCACCACACAACCACTGACTTTACAACAGTGTGTTTTTAATTGTGACCCTCTGAAACGTTATCAGAAGAATTACCTTTTATTCTAACTTTTCTACATTCACATAGTCCTACCTATGAAGGGTAAAACAACAATAATCTGCTAAGTAAATATCTTTATATTTGGACATACCTTGGCTCTACTGTCATTGTTTAAATTTTGAATTTACCCTTCCTGGTTACTTATGTTACTGGTATTCTGAACATTTCAATAGTGCCTGTGCAACTGTAATAATGAGTAATAGACAATGCTGATGTATAATGAATGGTAATGAACAGTAGACAGTGTTTTTTAATAACCTCTCTTTAAAAACATCATTCCAATGCATTTTTAGTTTTGTAAACTAGTATCTTCACATGCATGAATTTATTAGATTTTTAAACATTTAACTTCTCTGCCTTTACATTTTAAGTGCTTTCTGACTCTAAGAACTGAGCCCCAGAAACTGGAAAAATGAATCATTAGATAATGATATATCTTTCTCTCCTTTAATATCTGGCTCTACCCAATAACAAAACAATATTTCTTTTTCTCTTCCTTTCTGTAAGCCTTCTAAAAATCCCTAGAAATTTCAGTGTGGCACTGCCTCAAATTGAATTTTAGGTGATCTACTTTTGTGGTCTTATTCTTTATGTGGTCAAAAATTTATAACATAGTCACAGAGTTTGGTTCATCAGATTGCTTTTATTACTTTATCAGGCTCAGCTATTTTTAGTATAAAAGACAGATAAATTATTTTCTATACTGGTCAAGTTGAAACCAACCAAGCCATTGCTTCTGATATATTTTGAAGACAATGTTACTGTCTCAAAATACCAATTGAAAATTCACTAGCACTTCAGTGGGAGTGAAAGGGGGTTGGGAGAGTAAGTGAGCTGCGAAAGCTTCTTCAGGGTAATCTGGGGTTCTGGAAGAGCTTGATTGGGGTAGACTTGGTTAATTAGCTAATGCTCCCCCATATTTAACTATACTTGTTACAGATTACTCTCAAAACAAAGATTATTTAAGAGGACACAATGTTTTGATGTATGAACAGTACACTCTTGGTCTCAGAACAAACAGCTGCCAGAACCATATATTCCATAAGATGACAAAGACTGTTAACATGCTAATTTCTTAAACTAGGTAATTTTCAGACTTTGTAGTCCATATGCACCTTGAAGTATCACAATCTCTAATGTTTTTAATGTCTGATAAGCTTTTCTTTATTTTAATAACTTGCTTATTTCATTCTCAGAGTGTACTAGCATCAAAACAGGGTTAAAGGATCCTACTAATGTTTAGAGTAACTGCTATGCACATATTGACAAGTCAAAATGACAAAGTGCTTTGCAGTTGTGGTATTTCTTGGGGAAGACTGACCCGAAATCAGACCCAATCCTACACAGCAGCATTTGTCTCAGTAACTTGTTACTGGCCAGTGTCTAGCCTCTCCTCTGCATATTCAGAAACTCAGTTTTGTCAGTCTAGTAGAGTTGATTAGCTAGGGAGCGCTGACTAGAACTAACAGGCCCCTAAGGCACTCCTACATTGAAGCATGTCAATTTATTAATTTATGATGAAAAACATAACTGCCAGAAGGCCCAGATACTCATGCCAGCCTGACCAGCTCATTGTTTCCCTGTAGACAACCCACATGGGAAGCCAAATTATAATCAGAAGATTGCTTAGTGAGCAAAGAATTGGAACAAAAGAAGTTTTATAATTTGAATGTTTAATGGCATCAAGCTAAGATAGCCTAATTCATTCATCTTCAGATAGAGATGGTCTTGCCTTGAGATAGTAATTCTCAAAATCTATTGGCTGAGACTCCCTATTGCAGTGCTTTGATGGGTACTGTCTTTATTTTTCATTTCACTTCTAAGATTGTTTTTTGTGTTGCAAGTTGTTTTTAATAGATGTATTGCTTCTCAAAAAGTCTATCCTCAGTCAGGTTACATAGGTTGATATTTCTGTTCTTAGAGTCTTTTTTTTTTTTTTTTTTTTTTTTGATTTGCTATAGGACACATGCACTTGCCAGAGAAAGAGAGAGAAATCACACCCTAGAGGGGATAGCCATGCTGTAATTCCTTCTCCGTTCTCCTGTCAGGATTTTGGGCACACATGTGCTCAGTGTGATTTTCATGTTGCCAGGTTTGGGACTCGAGCCATGGACCCAGCCATTTTAATTTCAGCACGACCTGCTGGCCCCAGAATTATTATTTTTTTTTTTTTTAGAGAGAGAGAGAGAATCTAATCATTTCTCCTCTGATCCTAGTTGAGGACATATTGATTTCCCAGGTCTGTGAGGAGCACCTCCCTGTTCATTTGCTGGGTTGTCAGAAAAATCATGATGCATTTTTGCATAGAAAACCAGAAAAATATGTCATGACTTCTGACAACCTAATACTTACTATAGGGACTCTCTCTGTTATTAATCTAGAACTCCTCCCCAGTTTGAAAATTAATCTCTATTTGTTTTCTAGGGCTGCTGGGACAAATTACCTGAAACTGGGTGGCTTAAACAAACAAATTTACTCTCTCAGAGTTATGGAGGCTGGAAGTCCAAAATCAAGGTGCTGGCCAGCAGGTTACTTTTGGAGACACCAGGGGAGAATCTGACCCCTATTTCCCTCCCAGCTTCTGGTGGTCGCCAGCTGTCCTTGGTGTTCCTTGGCCTGCAGCTTCATCCCTCCAGTCTCTGCCTGTCTTCAAGTAGCATCCCACCTG